AAGATTTACATCTACTTTAACCCCTTCTTGCCCCTGCACCACTTTAATCCAGTATGCAAACCCTGGGTGCAGGAAGGATCAGCAATCATGTGATCAGTGTGATTGGCTGTCAGAGTGGTAACATGATTGGCAGCCGATCAATAGTGGGGACTGAGAGATCTCTTTGACAGCTTGTAGCTGGCCAGCTAAGACCAGTCCTAGGTTGCTAATATGGTTCACATATATGTGTATACCAAACCTGCCAATAACCTCAGTACAGTATATATGTGCATATGTTAAAGCCAAAAGCAGAATCATTGCTGTAATTTATGTCTTTGATTGTTATATGACATTTGTATATTCATTGTGTTAGCAGAAGCAGAAAAGGAAAATATGCCTTTAAGAGTTAGTATAAGGTGAGCCAATCACAGACAGCCTCACACTGTACAGAGCCTTAACCAATCCCAGCCAGTTTCACATCTATGCCTGTGTAAAACTCCCTGCTAGGATTTTCTAGAGACACATGCTCACCAGACAGAAGAGGAAACAGACAAAGTTCCAATCAGAGAAGCTCCATGGAAGTACAGAAGGCCAAATAGGTATTTAATGCACTTGTGTGTTCCTCTATTGTTTAACAGTGCAGGTAGATCTGTGTCTAAAAACTGTTGTATGTGTTTACTTGTAGTCCCACCGAATTTACGAACTTACAAATCAAGTCACTGTAGAGTAATCATAATCGAATTTATAAATCCAAGTGAATTTATCAATCTATCGAAATATACAGTACGAATTTATCAAATCTATTGAACCTATCGAGATAAGCTATCGAATCAACCCAATGTAATACTAATTAAACCATTGTAATACGAAAGAAATAAGCCATTGTAAGCAGTGTTATATGAAGAAGATTGAAGTTATTAAAGAAGTTAACTAAAGTATTCGGTGTGCTCTTTAAACCTACTGCATCCATAGAGTGGCATTGGAGGAATTACAGAGTAAAGTCAGTCTAATCAAACAAAGAAACAGCAATTGCATAATTTTTCTAATGCCACAGCGCACTAGGCACCAAAGGGTGCTGCGCCTGCCACACAGCTTGTCTCTGTGTTGGGAGCATGCAGCACAGAAACATCCGCCGCCCAGTATTGCATATGTGTGGTGTGTGGGTGTTAAAGCCATGCCTTTTGGCGCTGCACATGTGAGTTCCATTGGCAGCAACAGGTTAAATTGAACTCCGCTTTAATCACAAATAAAGAACACATAAATAGTTTGAGATTGAAAAGAATTGTTTTATTTCTGTAAATAGTATATGTACGTTTGTCACAGTTGCTAAGGAATGCCACAATTATTTTTTCACTGAATTTGTTTTAGGAAGAAAAATAAAATAGGAGACTGTAACGTGGGTAGTTGTCTGCGATATTCTGACAGGGCTCAGTGTTCTTGATTTGTATAGGAACTTATTTTTAAAAAAATACATCTTCACAGTAACAAAAAAAAAAATGTCTATTATGATTTTCCTTTTTTTTTTCTATGCTCATGTTTTATGCTCTGCTGTTTGCTCTTTTTATTTCTGGGGTAAACAAAGGCAAAAGGTAAAATGTATGAATTGCTTAGCAATTGTGCCACAGTGATTTATAAGTGACTGCAGTTGTTTTCTAAAGCAAATCACATTTTGTGAATCTGTTTTAAAATATTTGACCTGGAGATTCCACCAGTAACAGTACTTCCTTTTGCAGGCTGGCAGTGTTATTAACTGCTGTGTGCACTGTTTCAAATGGCTGTTGGGCTGCCTGTCAGGACTGCAGGAGGTATGAACAAACCTAAGTGGTAGCCTAAGGGCCAACTTAAAGTGCAACTTCACTTTCTCAATCAACATTGATGATTTGTAATCCTTACCTTGCTAGAATTCATGAATAGATAGGAGGGTATATCATATTTACTTGTTTTTTAACTTTTTTTTTTACATTTCTGCAGTTACTTCCTGGTTTCTGGTCTAGCAAATGATGTCATACATCTCAGGAGTCTTCAGAAGGGGAGGAAGGGTTTTCTTCAGCTAAGCAAACCCTCCTGCCTGCATGCCAGAGCTAAGGGCAGATAGATTCCAGGAAGTAAATGCTACATGAATCATCTGACCTTACTCAAGATGGCAGTGGATAAAATGCTAAGGGGGTGTTTTCAAAGTAATTCTTCAACAAAACAAAGCATGGAGACATGGACGGTTGGGGGAGTTTGCTTTGAATATTAAAAATGAATTAAATTGCGTTTTTGGTTTGTGGTGCTCAGATGCAGTGCAGTTCCTCTATAAGGTACAGCTGAAGACTCCTGTATGACAGTCCCAAATCCAGTTACTATGTGATGCACAAACCTCATAATGAAAATTCAAACTAAATTTACCTTCCTTGACTAAGCCAAAACCCCCCTTCATTTCTGTCTCACATGCCTCCCATTCCAGACATGGCAACTCAGAGCAGGAGCGTTTCAGCCACAGATGCAGTGCATCCAATCCAGAAAGCAGTGGGAAGGACAGTGGTTGACCAGATGCTGATTGACAAGATACAGGCTTTGAATCAGCATTGACAATGATGATCGTCATACCCCTTGCAAACAAGTTTACATCCCACTGTAGTGCAAGCAAGCACAGCCTATATGAGCGTGGCAACTGTTCTATGAATTCAGAAACAATGTAGCATCGTTGTCCCCCATCATAGAAAGTTGCATTAGGTTGAATTCATTGGCAGGATCAACAGGTAGGACTTTTTCTGCTGCAGCACAAATATTTTTTTAACAAATTTTTACTTTAAAGGCTAAGTTAACTTTTTTTTTATCTTTATCTTTTATGTACCAATATGCCATTAATGTACCTCTGCTGCAGAAAAATAGAAGCGCTCTTTGATTTTGAGAACAAGGCCTTACCTTAGCCCTTGCTGAATTAGAAAGCGTCATCACTTGCTGATATGTAGATTTAGGACAGAGAAACCAGTAAGACACAGGAAGGATTTCATCAGCTGACCTCATTAGCACATACTTGTGGCTGCCTTCCCCCTTTCCAGCAGATCACTACCACCCACTTCCACAGCTTCATGGTTTTCCAATGCAATTAATCAATGATCACCGTTCTCACTAAATACACGGTTTACTTTTTTTTTTCTATCTTAATTTCATCTTGCATAGATCGGTCATTTAGCAGAGTGTGCTAAGCGATTAGATAACAGCCTATGTGGATAGAGTTGTAGTACTGAAAACAGCAGAAGTGTGTCCTGGGTTCTGTAAAGCTCACCATACACTGTGCAATCTGATTGTACACTCTCCTTTAGATCTACTGTCAACTATGTATGCAAGAACCTGCCTGATTGGATAGAGAGTGATTGGATAGATGGTGTGTCCTCCTATGATATCGTTTTTGGTAAATCTAAAGGAGATCGTACAGAGATTGTACAGATTTTATTGTGTATGGCCACATTTATACACCTAAAATTAACTAGTTGTGCTTTCGGTGCCATTAATTGTTAACAGCACACCAAAGAGAAACAAGCACACATTTTGCCACATGAAAAAATGAGTGACAAATGCAGCAAAATGCACATTAAAAAACATGCAACCCACATCACTCCACAATGTCCCATGAGCTACTTTGCCACGTGTAGCGCAGCCCATTGAAAATCAAAGGGCTGCTCTATGTGTGTCACTGGAGAAATGAGCCAAAAAAATGTCCTTCCTCTACTCCGTGTCAATGAGGCCGGAAAGTGAAATTGGTTTGTTTACACAAAAACAATGAGCCTCCATTCACATCTATGTGTTTCTGAATGCATGGGAAACTGCACAGAAAATGCGTGCTTTGCCTTGCATCTCATAAACACACTGCAAATGTGCATTGTATTTGTGTTGTCATTACATGTTAAAGGCACCCCAAGTGCGGCAAACACACCAAAACCTGCGGTAATGCACTGTGCTCCACTACCAAAAAAGTTCTGTGGGCAGATAAGAATAGTGAGTAGAAAGATAAGAATAGAGACCGGACAGGTAAGAATAGTGATTGGACAGGTAAGAATAGTGAGTGGACAAGAATAGTGAATGGACAGGTAAGAATAGTGAATGGACAGGTAAGAATAGTGATTAGACAGGTAAGAATAGTGATTGGATAGGTAAGAATAGTGAGTGGACAGGTAAGAATAAAGAATGAATAGGTAAGAATAGTGAGTGGACAGGTAAGAATAGAGATTGGACAGGTAAGAATAGTAAATTGATAGGTAAGAATAGAGATTTGACAGGTAAGAATAGTGAATGGACAAGTAAGAATAGAGAATGGACAGGTAAGAATAGTAAGTGGACAGGTAAGAATAAAGATTGGATAGGTAAGAATAGTGAATGGAGAGGTAAGAATAGAGATTGGACAGGTAAGAATAGTGAATGGACAGGTAAAAATAGAGATTGGACAGGTAAGGATAGTGAGTGGACAGATAAGAATAGTGAATGGACAGGTAAGAATAGTGAGTCAAAAGATAAGAATAGAGGGTGGACAGGTAAGAAAAGTGATTGGACAGGTAAGAATAGTGATTGGACAGGTAAGAATAAAGATTGGACAGATAAGAATAAAGATTGGACAGGTAAGAATAGATACTGGACGGGTAAGAATAGAGATTGGTCAGGTAAGAATAAAAATTGGACAGATAAGAATAAAGATTGGACAGGTAAGAATAGATACTGGACGGGTAAGAATAGAGATTGGTCAGGTAAGAATAGAGATTGGACAGGTAAGAATAGATACTGGACGGGTAAGAATAGAGATTGGTCAGGTAAAATAGAGATTGGACAGGTAAGGATAGTGATTGGACAGGTAAGAATAGTGAGTCAATAGGTAAGAATAGAGGGTGGACAGGTAAGTCAGAGCATGAGGAGAGTACTGCTGATTGTCAGAGGATGGATCTGCACCGGTCATCGGGGCACTGATGATCAGTGCTCTGATGATCAGTGCCCAGCAGTGCCACCCACACGTGCCCAGCAGTGCCACCCACCTGTGCCCATTAGTGCCTAGTAGTGCCACCCACCTGTGCCCAGCAGTGCCACCCCACCAGTGCCCAGCAGTGCCCTCCAACAGTGCCACCCAGCAGTACTGCCCAGCAGTGCCACTTATCAGTGGCCAGCAGTGCCACCAGTCAGTGCCCAGCAGTGCTGCCAGTCAGTGCTGTCAATCAGTGCCACCCATTAGTGTCCATCAGTGCAGCATAATCAGTGCCAGCTCATCAATGCCACCTATCAGTTCCGCCTATCAGTGGCCATCAGTTCCGCCTATCAGTGCCCATTAGTGCTGCCTATCAGTGCCCATTAGTGCTGCCTATCAGTGCCCATCAGTGCTGCCTCATCAACGCACATCAGTGAAGGAGAAAAAGTACCTGTTTGCAAAACTTTATAATAGAAACAAAGAAAAAGTTTTTTTTTTAATTGTTTTTGCTCTTTTTTTGTTTATAGTGCAAAAAATAAAACATCCAACGGCAAGTAAATACCACCAAAAGAATGCTCTATTTGTGTGAAAAAAAATGCTAAAAATTTCATATGGCTACATGTTGCATGACCGCACAATTGTCATTCAAAATGTGACAGCGCTGAAAGCTGAAAATTGGCCTGGATAGGAAGGGGGTGAAAGTGTCTGGACTTGAAGTGGTTAACATAGAATTTATCGCTTTAATATGTGATTTAAGAGGTAATAAATATCCATAAGAATTATACATTACTTACATTGTTTGTACGTAACAAGTAAAATGCAGCAAATGTATGGACTGCTTTAAAATACCATGGTAATGTAACATTTTTTTTTTTTTTTTACAATACTTAACTTTATGGGAGAGAAATGGAAAAATCTCTTCTATCTGCATATTTTTCAGGTCAGTGTCAGCAATGTTTGGAAACATCAATTATAGGTAATCTCTGGAACACATGTGGCTATTTTCGCAAGAAAAACTGCTGATTTAGCTTAATTTGGTTATCTTGTGCTACAGTGGTGGATATCTGCGGAAAACACAACACACAAGTGTTTCAGAGCTACTGCCGGTTCTGTACACACTGTGTCCAATCTCCTTACAGTCACTTAACTGAATTAAATAAAATACCAAATCAGTTCAGAATGTAATAACAGTTTATTAACATTTAGACAGCAAACACGTCAGGAAAAAGAAACTTTAATGCTTTATAGTGATTTATCCCTGCAGAGTAGAAGCCTAAAGCTTTCACATTGATCTTCACTGTTCTGCTATGTTACATGCTGTAAATGCACACTTATTTGATATCATTTTAATTGGAAGAATTTGGGGTCAATTTACCAAGTTAAAATAACTAATGCGTAATATCTCTGGAACAGGCAATTCACTAAAACATGCAAAAAATACCACTTGTTAATTTTTTTTTTCATTTTATGTTTTTTTAACTCATTACTTTTGGCCTGGTTCACACCAATGCATTGTGCTTTTTGTCAGTTTTGCAGTGCTTTTTGCATACACTTTTATTGCTGGATTTTGCATTTTTCAGCTTTTTTGTGTCAAACGGGAATTTTTTTTGTTGCTAGGCAAAATAACGCAAAACACAGCAAAAATGCACTACATGCTTCTCCATTAAACTCTATTGCAGCACAAATGCTGCGTTTTGCATTTAAAAAAGTCCCTGACCCTTTCCAAAAATGCCAGCAGCTCGAAAAAGCACAAAAAAGCATAGATGTGAACATGTCCCATAGGAAACCATGTTAAATGGACAGTAGTGCGTTTCTGCAAAAAGCACTAAAAAACGCATTGGTGTGAACCAGGGCTTCTACCTTATCTTACCCCAAACCGGACCTCTGGCTGCAGCGGAAAGTGAAACATTTGGCAATGGTCGTCCTATCACTGCTAAATGTGATAGTTCCAACTCAGAGATTATGGTGGTCAGGGAGCCAGCACCCGCCAGCAACCTGATAACCAGTCATGTTTCCTTGCCCTATTAAAAAAAATGTGTCATGCGGGTTCCATCACAATACGTACCAGAACCTTTGGGTCTGGTTTAAATTTTAAGGGGGCCCAATGCCAAAAAAATTGGCATGAGGTCCCCACAGATTCCATTCCATACCCTTATCTAAGCATGCAGTCTGGTAGGCCAGGAAAAGGGGAGGTGTGCACCCCCCTTTCCTCCTCAAACAATACCAGGTCACATGCTCTCAACACGGGGGGTATCTTACCAAGGGGATACCTCCTAGCAAATACCCTGTCCCCATGTTGATGAGGACAAGAGCCTCTTCTCCACAACCCTGAGCCAGTGGTTGTGGGGCCTGTGGGCAGGCAGCTTTAACAATAAAAATACCAGATATCTTCCCCCCATGTGAATGAGTAAGGTGTTCATTCACATGGGAGTACCCTAGAAATAAAAATATCCAAATGTTTGAGAAGTCTTTTATTAACAAACAAAAAAAAAGGCCCACAATATACATCAATCATTATTCAGTTGTTCAGTGATACAGGTCCACATCAATCCCGAACGATGGCCGCCAACTTACCTGGAAGAAAATTATATAAACTGAGTGTTGGGGAAAATTACAGAATTCATGTTTTCAAATTTTTCATTATTTCTTTGCAAAACCCTAAGAAATAAAAGATTACTTGTACAAATACGCTATCTAGTTAACAACAAAAGAACAAAAAGATATATATAGTACTTGCTAGGGAGCCATCTCCAAAAACAAAAAATCACTTTGGGACTCAAGGAGAATAAGGAAGAATAAGGTGTGGGGATTCAAGTGGTTAAAAGCTTTAGAAGTACCTCTTTTTAAGTAGAAATTCTCCTACCACAAAACATTATGTAACCTGTGGCTTATTTCTAAAACTTGTTCAAATGTTATGACTTACAAGTGGAATGCTGGTTGTGATTATGCAAGAACTGACGTACACTTTCCTAAATTACAATGACTGCACAGGCTTACAGTGTATTCAAGCCCAGTCACTAAATTTACATGTAATTGTAGCTCTCTTTCGGGGGGGTTATGATAAATGTCCCTCCCCAAACAAGATAATGTGCTAAACCTGTAGGTGAATAAGAGAATCAGAACTTTTGCTAAGTGGAAGAGTGGGTCTTGTAATAGAATTGGCAGTGCCTCCACCTAAAACAGGGCCTCTGTGAAAAGAAGGGATTCCTTTCCTAGGATATGAATCAATAATCTAAACCAGGGGTAGGCAATCTTTAGAGCATAGTGTGCTGAAAATATTTTGAAAGAAACTGAGAGTTCCTGCTACATAAAAAGGCCAACTTCACGTACTCAATCATGAAGAGGAAAATTTTTATAAACGAAATGCTGTAAAAAAGTTGAATAACAGTAAGAAATGAATATTGAGCTTTGCACCTTCATGCGTCAAATCAGCCCAATTTCTGCAATATAGACTTCATATCACCCCATTTCCTGCACCTTTACACCTCTAATCAGTCCCAAATCCTGAACCTTCACACCTCAGATCACTCCAGTTCCTGCATCATTACACCTCAGATCACCCAAATTCCTGCACTTTCACATCTCAGATCAACCAAATTCCTGCACCTTCACACCTCAGATCAGTCTAAATTCCTTCACCATCAGATCACAGATCAGCCCCAAATCCTGTACCTACATGCCTGAAATCAGCCCAATTCCTGCTCCTTCCCACCTCAGATCACCCCAAATCCTGTACCTTCATGCCTGAAATCAGCCCAATTCCTGCTCCTTCCCACCTCAGATCACCCCAAATCCTGTACCTTCCCACCTCAGAAGAGCCCCAATTCCCACATCTTCAAACCTCAGCTCAGTCCCAAATCCTGCATCATCAGATCTCAGAACATCCCACTTCCTGCATCTTCACACTTCACATCATCCCCAATTCCTGCACCTTCACACCTCAGATCACTCACAAATCCTTCACCATCAGGCCTCAGATCAGCCCCAACTCCTGCACCTTCATGCCTCAAATCATCCCAATTCCTGCACTATAGTCAGCGTCAGCAGAGCAGAGGACGGGCGTTAGTGGGGAAGAGGATGGTGTCACTGCTGATAGATGCAGAGCTGCATGGCATATGGCAGGAGTTGGAAAGGCTCAGCAAGGCAGAGGACAGGCATCAGGAGGGCAGAGGAGGGGTGTCAGCAAGGCAGAAGATGGGTGTTAGCAGAGCAGTAGATGGGTGTTAGTAGGGCAGAGGATGGTGTCACTTCTGACAAGGTACTTAGCAGAGCCGCAGGGCAAAGGGCAGGGCTCAGTGGGGCAGAGGACACGCATCAGCGGGGCACAGGACGGTATCATTGCTGACAGGTCACTCAGCAGAGCTGCTCCTCCCAACACTGCACACAGCTAAGATATGATTCTTTTCCAGACACAACCTGGATTTGCACAGTGTGTAGCTGGCTGCTGCAGGTTGAGGATTTCACAGGTCAGAACCGCAACTGCCAGCTACATGCTGTGCTGATCGAGGTTGTGTCTGGCAAAGAAACAGATTAACTGTATGCAGTGTTGGGAGGGGCCACTCACCTACATGTCCTGTCAAACCTGAGTGAAGTCCGAGGATGGAAGAGCTTACCGACTCATCTCCACATCCATCCGGGGGGGGGGGGGGGGGGGGGGAGGTGCGGACCACCTCCTAGACCCTGACATCCACTGCTTCATTGTTGGCTGTATGCAAACTGAGTAGTGAGGCAGGCGGGCAATGAGTTGATTCCAGCCGTGTTCCCTCCTGTGTAGGCAGCAACAACTTCCTGCTGGCTTTGCTGATGCGTGGGAGGTGGGTGTCCCAGGCATCCCTCACGTCTTGCGTGTCAGCATAAATGTGGATGTGTGCCATATTTGGTATGCATGCCGGGGGTTGCCGACCCCTGATCTATACAAAGTAAATGGGAGCAGAGGGACTGCTGCCACTCGCATACTGTATAACATTAACCAGCACTGCAAGAGTCCTACAAAATGACCTCCAGCAGGCCACTGGTGTGAATGTCTCTGACCAAACACTCAGAAACAGACTTCATGAGGGTGGTCTGAGGGCCCGATGTCCTTTAGTGGGCCCTGTGCTCACTGCCCGACACCATAGAGCTTGATTGGCATTTGCCATTGAACACCAGAGTTGGTAGGTCCACCACTGGCGCCCTGTGCTTTTCACAGATGAGAGCAGGTTCACACTGAGGACATGTGACAGACATGAAAGGGTCTGGAGAAGCCGTGGAGAACATTATGCTGCCTGTAACATTGTTCAGCATGACCGTTTTGGTGGTGGGTCAGTGATGGTCTGGAAAGGCATGGAGGGATGCACAGACCTCTACAGGCTAGACAATGGCACCCTTACTGTCATTAGGTATGGGGATAAAATCCTTGGACCCATTGTCAGAACCTACACTGGTGTAGTGGGTCCTGGGTTCCTCCTGATGCACGACAATGCCCGGCCTCATGAGGCGAGAGTATGCAGGCATTTCCTGGAGGATGAAGGAATTGATACTGTTGAAT